ATGAATTTTCAAAAACGCCACACAAACAAAACCAACCAAGAAGCAAAACTAACCCAGGAAATTAGATGATATCACTTCCAATCTTCCAGTAGCCTCTTGTCATTCTTGGAATAAAATCCAGCACCTCACTTTATCCATTGCCTTCTCTCCTTGGCTATTTTATTTCACTTTCTTTCATTGACCTCCTTTTATTTTCTCAAATGTACCCTGATCCTTCCTGTCCTAGGATGCCTGAACACTTTATTTGGCTTGCTCTTCACTCTTGTCTTTTGGATCCCGCCTTAGCTATCAGAGAGATCTCCCTACCTGATGCTAAGTTCCTGCCTGGTCACCATCTATCGTATGGCTCTAATTCACTTAGTTGCTGCTGCCATCAGTTAGTATTTTTAATGTTTCAATGTGTGGTTGTGCTGTATTGTCTTTGGATATAAGTATCATGAATTGACGGTCTGTGTCTAATTCATTCATATGCATTTCTGAAGCTCTTATCCCAGAATATAATATGCAATAGAAGGAAAAATCATGCTTCTGTCAGAGCATCTTCAACATCTTTCCTTTAGTCTTGCTTCTTACTGGCAGGCGTCTGCCCCTCATCTGCCCCATACTCTTCCTATGGGAAAATTCTGGAAGCCCCTATATAAATAAGGAGTGTGTTTGTTTAGTACTTTACTAAATTTCAGGGGATGGAGGGAGAGAAATGAAGAATTGTTGTAAGACTGAGCTTTCTCCTGGGCCTTTCTAGGCCTCCCAGAATCTGCTGGCACAAGGAAGTCAATCGAAGGCTTTAGTTCATGTTTCTTCAAAAGGCAAGACTTTGCTTGCTGGCATCAGTGTGAACCCTAGCCTGGTGCACCATTGGTGGACATTCACAAGGACATAAATCTACTCTGAATTAAATGCTTTCCTGAAAGACCTTTGGGCTGACTTCTGAGCCCAGCCAGTTTTACCTCTGAAGTATGTTTCTGTGATTCCCTTTCCATCCCAGTAAGTCCCATCCACGGTGTAGACAGTCTGACACATGGCTAGCAAAGGCTTGCTGTTTGTACTGGGGATGTAAGAGAAGAAGGACTGCTTGGTTGACTATGCCAGAACTGAGAAGCCAGACTCCCTGTGACAGATGCCAGGCCACAGGTACCTGGGAAGTGACACAGCCAGGGGATTATCCACATGAGAAGGTTACTTTTTAATTAGACAAAAATAGGCTGGCTGAACATTTACTTACATCTCCATTAGTCCCAGGGACTGAGACTCCAGCTTGCCCTTTTGTCTTTCCGTGCTTCTCCCCTGCTATTACTACTGGGGCCTACTCTTCCCCAACTTCACTCAGGAATCTGCGCTTTGGGTTATTCCCCTCCACACACCCTTTTATCAGTACTGGGAATTGAACCTAGAGCCTAAGTACGGATCTACATCTCTAGCCCTTTTTAATTTTTTTTTTTTTTAACACGGTCTTGCCAAATCACTAAGTTGTCCAGGAGGGGCTTAAATTTGCGATCCTCCTGCCTCAGCCTCCCAGAGAGCTGGGATTACAGTTGTGCATCACCACGCCTGGCCTTTTCTGTCCTTTCAAAGGTGCACAGGGGGGCAGAGCTGGAAGTCTTCCACGGTCATGCAGTACTGTTGTGATTCATCACTCTGGATACTTGCAAGCAGAGGCTCTGGAATCTTAATGGGCAGGAGCAACAATTAATGGGACTGATTGCCCTAGAAAATTGCCTTCCATTTCTGTGAAATAACAAAATAATTGCCTTCTGACCCTCTGGCCTTAAGGTAGCCACACTGTAAAGGTGACACATTAACATAAGAATATATTTCTGAAACAGATGCAATGTAAAGGTGCCCACAGTAGCTATGTGAATTTGGTATCTGTGTTTTGGGGTTATTGCAAGTTTTATGCATGGAAAAGACATCTTTGGACAATGAAAAGAAATATTGGCTTGGCTTTGATAAGATCCCAGTATTCTGCACTGTGATGTATCCAGTGTCCTGTGGTGACAGGGTGCTAAACCAGTGTTATCACCGTGCTAATTGTTAGGAAGGGTTCTCTTAATTGGACCTCTGTACAAATATATCCTAAAATTTTTACAGAATTTAGACATTTTTCTGAAAAGGGACTATGTTCATCTTTGGAATTTACAACACAGTACAGTTGATACCTACCTGACTTATTTATGCCTATATGTTTATATGAACAACTCAATTAAAAAGTAGATCTACACTTGAGTGTTTGACTGAGAAACACTGATAAATTGATACTTTTTTTCCTTTTCAGTACTGAGGATTGAATCCAAAGCATTGTGCATGCTAGGCAAGCATTCTACCACTGAGCTATACCCCAGCCTGATACTTATTTTATTAATACCTATCTGATCACTGATTGACATGGATGAGTGAATCGGGGTGCAGATCTATACCTGAGTGTTCCTTCAACTGAGAAAAGTAAACAAGATTAAGGTGCTGAACATACTGGGCATGTGTTTGTACAGGTCGATTCAGAAGCCCAGTAGATGAGATCAGTTAGCAGGAGAGAGAGCAGGAGAGGTGGGCTGCGTGCAGGAGTGGAGTCCGCTTTGCTGCATCTGGGTGCAGGTCAGCTCCGGGCCCTTGGGAATGGAAGAGCATGAGAGACGATGGGTACAGTGAGCGTGTGTAAGGGATCCCGGTGAATGAGAGGCAGATGTGGCAAATTTGCATAAGAACAACTGTGTGGGTGTGTGGGTGGTGGCCTTTGACCCACACTTTGAATAGCAAATGCTTAGCTTGTGTTTGAGCGGAGCGGCAGGTCAAGGATGTTGGCTATTTTACAGTAGATGTGTCGGTATATAAGGGGTCTCAGTCATTGTGCACAGAGCTGAGTTGGAGACAGATACTCACTGCAGTGTGTTTCTCCCTCTGTGCTTTCATTTATGGCACAAAGGAGCCAGTGAATTGTTCCCCTTTTTAAGCTAACATGGTAAAGCCTCCAAATCCATGATAGCTTTGTGGTGCATTACCTTTGTGTTCTCCACTTAGCTCAAGCTCGTGGTCAGTTTCCCCACCTGGGGTGATTGACCAGAGGGGCTTACAGGTCCTCTGCAGAAGCTGCTGTGCAAGGCAGCAGGGTATAATAGTTTCTCTTATTCACATTTTTATTGTCTCCATTCCCACAGGAATTTCCCAGAGAAGCTTCTCAACACCATAAAACTCTGTGGGGCAAAGTAAGCAATTTACACCTGGGTCTAAGCCAGCAACAGCTCCCTGCTTCTCTCCCTCACCCTACCCCCTTGTCTGGAGAGTGCCTCCTCCTTCCAGGGTTTTGCCCTTGTTTTCTTGGTGCTTCCTCCATAACACTTGGGGCTTGTGTGGACTCTCAGCTGTGGTTCTCTCCTTAAATACTCTTCATTAAGTTTCTTGAATGATCAGTCTGTGAGGCTGTCTTACCTTGTGGAGAATTGTAAAAGAGCCACAGCAGCTGAAGCCCTGCTAGGAGTTAGAGAGGTGGGGGAAGGGGGGACTCAGACTAGGAAGCTGGGGTCCCAGGGTCACTCTGTCAAACATTATGGTGGTCCGTGAAAGCCAAAGACATCTGTGAGGCGAATCGGGGACTCGCTGTTACAGGTTCAAGAGACAAAGGAGGCTATGGAGGAGAGAGACGTCAAGGAGAAAGTGAAAGGAGGCATCTTTCCTGGTTGAGATTGTACCTACACCCCTGACCCTCAACCCCATGTTCCCTCTGGGGTATCTTTACTCCCTTCTTCTTTAGAGAGATCTGTGGCCATAGGAGAAGTTACCGGAGACAAAGACGAAACAGGGGCATGAGGAGTCCAGTTTCACTTTGGATCCCCTACACCCCCACGCTGTGGTTTTACCTCCACCATCAATATTTTTATATTTTCCATGACAGTAAATAACAAAAGTAGAGTAGTTTCTGGGGTGGTGAAGAAATGGGAAATCCTCAAAAATAAGATTATTATCTGTTAGTACCGTTTGGGAAAGGGAAAATGGTGCATGTGGGTTCTCATTACTACTTTGATATCATTCAACAAATATTTACTGAATGTGTACAGGGTAAAGATTTGGTATTACCTACAGAGTTAGGCATATTCCCAAAGATTATATGGTGCGTGGTGCTATATTGTCAGGTAGTTCTTATTGTCCCATTTTATAGGAGAGGAAACTAAGGCTAATACAAAGTCATTTACCTCAGGGTTGGAGGTATGGGACTTTCTGAATTTAATTTTATTTGTCTTGCATTATTCTGCACTGCCTTGCTTTTATTGAAAATCAGATTTTTAAAAAAATTATCAGAAGTTGCCATATTCTTCCTACTGTCTAAGTTATAGTATATTTTAGAGCCAGCCAGATTTGGTTATAAATTCTAATAGTCTTGGAATTCATAACGTAAGTATTTATGTATTACTAGGTATTTAACTTGTAGAAAACTGGCTACCCCTCAACTTTGCCAGTTGTTAAAGGGAGGTATTCCTACATTTAAGTGTTTCTGTGATGATTGAATATCACACAAATAGCCTAATGTAATTCAAACACAATCATTACATTGGAAATGTAATAAAACTGCCTCCTTCCCCCTTACCCCCCCTTGTAAAGAAAACATATTCTTCTTATTTTCTGTGGTTGCACAAAATTTATTAATTTTCTATAGTTGTTATTTTTATGATCGGAGAACCAAGACCTTTCATATTTGGTTACGTTGAAGTTGGCACAGATTGTAGAGGTGATAAAGTCACAAACGCCAATGATTGTAGAGCTGTGTGGAGAGCTGTGTGTGGCGAGGGCAGGAATGGAGTTACAGGGACACCTGATGCTTCCACAAGCTATCTATTTTGTGTTTTGCTCAAGAACATCTTATTCATTCTCAGAGGACAAAATAATCCTTCATGTAGAAATCTGAAAAATGAAAGTTTTTTTCATTGAAAACATTTCTTTCCTTCTATTTTTCCTTTTCACCTTCAGCCTAGACTGCTTTCATCATTTTTGAAAAAGCCAGCATCAACCCCTTCCACGGTGATTCTTCCAAGTGCATTGTCTATGGAGAACGTCTTGTATTTCACCTCTGGGATTCACTGTGAAAATGAAATGTGTCGTCCATTCAGCCAGGATCCTTCTCAAAGAATAATATGTTAAAAAGCAGAAATCCTTGCATTAGTTGCCTCTGTAAGGTCTGCGAGTGACCTTGAAAGATTGCGCTTAGGTTAGTACTGACTCACAGCATAGCCATTATTTTATATATTGTTTAAGTCCCCTGTCTTCTGTGATGTCTGTTCTCGCTTCAGCTCCCCGTGCTATGTTCACATGTCTTCCTATTGTAGCACGCTCATCTCATTCCTGTGTTTAACCACTGGGTGTGTATTAGAATTCGGTTTGATGCAGCACTTTGCCTTCAGCTTGCTGTAGATAACAAAAGTAAATTACATATATTCTTATCCCTCAAGGAATTTTTAACCCAGGGATGGCTTAGGTCACTAACTGCCCACTGAGGCTTTGTGTTTTCTTTCTTTCTCTCTCTTTTTCTTTTTATTCTTTTAAAAAATAATCTTACAGATAGAATTTCATGGCTATTAGCTCAGTGTTTTGTGGAGAAAAGGCAATGATCTGTAAGTAGATACTGTGGGGAAGAAAGCAAATACTAGAAGGAATATACCGCCGTGACCACTTGCACAAGTATAAACGTCTGTTTGCACAGGTGTTCTAGTTAAAATTCTGGGGAAATTTATAATGGCTGTAGACAAGGACTTGTTCCTATGACATCATCATGACCAGGTTCATTTCACTGTAGCATCAAGGGATCACACTTCACAGTACGTTTCTGGGGCTCACATAATCTTAAAATCCTTTTTTGAAAGATCAAACTTCAGATTCCTTGAAATAATTTTCTCAGAGGAAATGCCCCAGATTTTATAAGATGTGACTTTTACCTGTATTATCAGTAGCTTTTGTAAGGGGCAGAGAAATATAGTTCAATGAGCCACTCATTAATTCATTTACTCATGTATTCATTTTATGCATATGATAAAAATTTCGTTCATTCAAAACATCAAGTATTTATTTTATGTTACTTGTCTTGAGAGTTAGAAATGAAGACAAAATTTTAATCTTCTATGCAAGACTAATCTTGAAAAGCTTTATATGATTAAGAACTTGGGTAGTTGTCATTTTATTAATTTTCAACAGAAAGAAAAATATTTTCAGTCTAATAGTGTAGTCAGTTTAACCTGAATGTTGCTAGTCATACTCCTGCAGTCCACTCTGCCCCATCTGTACTCTTTTAGAAGTATGACACAGGGGAGATAGCAGGCTCCAGAAATGTGAATGAGTGAATGTATGCATAATACTTATTTTCAGAATATGTTACTCTATCAGGTCATTTCAAGTACTTTGGGCTGAGTCTTATTAGCGAACTTCACATTATCTTTTTCATTATAGTCATCATCCTGAAACCCTCACCAACAACAGCCAGAGATATTTAACCCCATAAGATCTGTGCCATACCATCATATTCCGGTAACAGCATACCAGGTGCTGTGAGTGGGGATATCTGAAATAATTGGACCACTGTCCCTGAAACTTAAATTAACTTTAACAATGTGGTGATGGTGTAATGGAAAAGTATTTTTGGAATTCTGAAATCTCTAGGAAAACTCTTTACTTTGGTTGTCTAAAGGGCCGGATGCTTTGTGTTATACAGTATATACTCAACATCTTTGATCTTCTCAGTCTTTCTCATTCTTTTGGAGGGTGATGGAAGCCTGAGTAACCTCCCAGAGTCTCCCTCTGGGGCCTGAGACTAAGAAGAAGCATCAGCACTATTCATCATTGGAAGTTCAGAACCCACAGAATGTTTAGGACCCAGCAGGACTTAAGAATAGGGACATTCTGTAGGAGAAATCTGACCTCCTTTTCAAAGAACATGGAGTCTAGGTCAGCTTTAAATCATAAACATAGAAATGTAATATTTCTTAGAATCCCAAAATCCCCAGGGAAATGATTTCTCTCCAGTTTTTCTAAGGAAAGTATTGTTCTTTGCTTAAAAATTTCCTCCATATCAAGCCTCTGTCATGGACTATTTTCCCTCATCGTATCAGAGGAATTATCTTACTGAATAGATCTGCTTTCCGCTGTTTGCTGGGACTTATTAAAAGAGCTGACTGCAAATAGATTTTTACTGCCTCAGTGTGGACTTACATCAGGTAGTACCCAACAAGACCTGACAAGCTGACATCTCCAATCTGTCAACCATGATGGTTGGAAGAAGGAGGACAGGAAGGAGACAATCTTATTCCCGCCCACTTCCTCAGAGACAGACTTTGGCTGAGTGATACAGAGTCTATTTTTGGAAATCTGTTTAATTTCCAAGTTGGAGTTTTGAGGATTTTGCTTTTTGAATATAGGGCTAGAAACAGTACTACCTTGCCAATGCTAAACAGAAACTGAAAATTCTATACCCTTTGGGTCATGAAGGAGAAATAGAATGAATCCTTCAGAGAAGGAAGGGAGAAAATTCCTTACAAAACACTCGAGGCAGGGCATCTCAGACACTTGGCATTCTCTCCATCTGGGCAGCCTTATAGCTCAATGTTATTGACTATTACAGTTGGCTTATGTTCAGTAGAAAGAATTATCTTGAAAACCTACATTTCTAAATATGGAGGCTTTATCAAAGTCTCAACTTTTCCCCATTCTCTCCCTGCTGTTCTTTCTTAAGCATTGGTAACATTGATAGAAAGGAGGATGAAAAGCAAAAACTAACCAGATTCTAAGTTGTTCATGTTTGCACACGTAGTGAATTATTGATGCCTGTGACTTCTAGTGAGAGAATCTTACAACACCAATAGCTTATTCAGGAAGAAGTATCTCATGGTTGTTCTTTAGGGGGAAAATACAGTGACTGATTGGTGCTTAGCTAATATTTAGGATAATTTGACTCCATGATTCTTTTGGAAAGAAGTTAGTGCCTCTTCAATGGAAATCACATTGCCTGACATGTAAAGTGGGCATCTCTTTACGTGTGTGAAGGGGGGCATGTGAAGTTTAAGCCACGTATGTTAATGTTCTTTAAAATTACATACTAAAATCATTAGGATTAACAGGAAAGGGCATTTAGTGGGATACCATCAATATCTGCTAATTATACTTGCTCGGAGCATACATCAAATATGCTGGAAGTTAAAATGTCGTATTATTAACCAAGGAAGGATGCTAAAGGAAATACTTCACAGTTCTCAAATTTACCGCACATGTTTTACACCTTGTTGACTATCTGCTATACTCTTTAAAATTCCTTATATTCTGTGTACAGCTTAGTTGTTTGGTTTCTTAGACTAAGGGAAGAGCTCTATGTAGTATACCTTGGGTATTTCGTATCATTTAGCACCTTTGTCTTGCACACAGTTATGCTCAGTAACATTTATCAAAGTGAAATAAATTCAAATACAGAAAATTTATATTGTTATTTATTCTGAATATAAATTAAATACCAGCCAAAATTAGCCCTCAAAGCTGTTTGAAGATGTGAAGACGAATGGGACCCTGGGAGATGTTAATCGTATTAAAATTTAGCAATTTTAGTTAGAAAACACAGGTTCTCTATTTTATGCCACCGTATTTCAAAAGTTATAGAAGATATTGTCTTTTCCTAATGATCAGATACACTAAAATATTCTTTAAAGATAACATCCTAATAAAAGCATAGCACATTAAGTATTTCAGTATATATCCTAGGTGCCTATTCAGTGTGTTTTGACACATGCTGCAGGTATGTAGCCCACACCTCCATCAGTGGACAATTTCCAACACCAGTGTTATCGCATACTACCTCCTAGTCAATCCATACCCACCCTCCATCCTTTCTCCACAGATTAATTTTGCCTGTTTCAAAATTTCATATAAATACAGTCATAATATACATATTTATTTTGTAATTTACTCACCATAATATTTTGAAATTCATTCATCTTGTTGTATTTATCAATAACATGTTCCTTTTTAAGATGAGCAATGTACTGCTGTATAAATATACCAGAATTTGTTTTCTGTTGATAGACATTTGAGCTGTTTCTAGTTTGGGGCTACTATAAATAAAAATTCTCTAATTTTTTTGATGTCCTTCTGTGGGCTTACATTTTGGGCAAACACCGAGGAGTAGAATTATTGGTAATAATATAGGTATGTGTTTAACTTTTTCAAATGCTTGTGTCATTTGCTGTTCTCACCAAACTGTGTTTCATCCATAGAAAGATGTAATATTGGAAATTGGAGGGGTGATAAAACAAAGAGAAAATGCCAAGAAATGACATCTGCAGGAATGACTATTATTAATAGACCTAGGGTTGTGGTTATGAGGATGTAAGAGGTTGAGTACTTTGGACTCAGCAGGAAGTACTGCTCAATTCTTCTTGGTACCTTAACATTCTCTGGCTCTTCTCTCTGTTATTGGTATTCTTGGTATACCTTCCTCTGCTGGGTATTTTTTATTCTGGCTCCTATATATTCTTAGGTCTTAAATTTCCATTTGTTTTTCTCATGACTTCTGTGTCTTTGCCGATGCTTTCTATTTTAACTTTTGCTTCAAGTGTGTTCCTGATTGCTGGTTTGAATATTTTTATAATAACTACTTTAAAAACCTTTGTCAGATACTTTCAACATCTGTGTCATCACATTGTTGGTGTCTGTTGATTGTTTTCCCCATACAAGTTGAGATTTCTATGGTTCTTTGTATGCCGAGTAATTTTGAATTGTGTTCTATATATTTGGAATATTATGTTTTGATTTTGTAATTCTTCCTTAAAATCAGTTGGATGATACTTTGAATTCTAGTCTCCTTCCTCATCTGCCTATTGCTGCTTCATTTTCACAGCTGTGCCAAGCATTCTGTCCAGGTTTTATGTTTGTGTTCAGTAGGGGAGAAAAGCTGGCAAGTGTTTACTGCACCTTACTGAATCAGAACTAGTAAGTTTGAATTTTGAAAGTATGTATTCACAAGACAAGAGAAAATCCACTTATTCAATTAAGTGTCTAACTTAATCATTTACTATCTCATTACTACCATTATAATTTAAATTTCATAAGTTTAAATTCTGTTCCTTGTATGTCAAGCCCTCAGAACAGAGTCTGGAGCTACATAAATATCAGAAACACTCAATAAGTACTTTAGATTGCATGAAAAAGAAGCCAATAAGCAATAAAGAATATGCTAGTGCTCAATAAACATTCAATAACCAGAATGCTTATTATCTATGACCTTGGACAAGTAGATTACCTCTTTGTGTATGGGTTACTTTTTTTTATTTTATGTAACAATAAAATGACATTTATTTCATAGGGAGAGAAAAATGTACAAAACATTTAGCACAGAATTAAGTGTTCAAAAATCACAAGTTCAATATTTTCTCTCCATTCCTATTTCAATGCGGAGATAATAAAGCCAACTTAAAATGCAGCGCAGAAAGAATAACTGAAAGAATGGATCATCTCGTGGACAGTTGGTTTTATATAAACAGGTGACAAATGAAAGCAGTAACAGTCCACTCCTATTTTCATTTCACCCTCCCTAATGAGAAAACGATCTTCACATGGAAAAGGAGTAGATCACAAGCTTTGAAGTTGAATGATTCTTAATCTCTCTCAGGTTAAACCCAGATCTTTCTATAAAATGGGAGTAATGATGCTTATGCCACCGAGTTGCTTTATGTGTGACAGAATAAAAACTCTGGGAGGAGTGGAGAAGGAGAAGACATAGCTCTTCTCATTTCCTGACCTATCAAAAAGAATCTTCTCATTGCAGACTGGCTCAGTAATTGGCAGCCTCATTATTTTTTCTGCTGTTGGCCTTTGAGTCTGGCAGAGCTGGGCTAAGTTCACCACCGTGCCTCACCTGCTGAGTCACAGACTCCTCTGCCTTACTGCCTGTGACTCCTTCGGCCCCCATGCCCAAACCTCACCTCTATCAGGCTTCCATCCTTGCTTGGAACTTGAGCAGGGATCCACACCACAGCACCTGGACACTTTTTCTCTCACTTGCTATCGCCTGGGAATCTTGATGAATATTTCCTCAGTTGCAGCTTCTCAGTGCATCCAGATTTTTCTCAGACAAAGATCCTTTTCCTTTTTATTCTTCTTAGGTAACAAATAGAAATATCCCAATATCTCTCTAAAAATCTAAATTAGTGCCCTTTTTTCAGCTTTCCTGTCCACCAACCAACCATCTCATGTCAGCCTTCCATTCTCTACCTACCCCACGCCCTGCAGTAATAGGTGCGAAATAAGAATTTCAGGTTTTAAGCTGCTGTGCACTGATGCAAGAGATCTGGTAAGTAGTCAAAGAAAATTAGCCTTGACTGCCTGGACTTAATTATTCACTGATACCACACATATATATCTTTGTTTTAAATTCTCATAAACTTCTAGAAGTTTTCCCATAGCCACGGGAAAATAATATTAATTTCTTGGAAATTATTTAATTGAACAGCAAATGGGTATCACTGAGTATGTTTAGCTGTTTTTAAAACTCTTTTAAAAAACTCATTAAGCTATTGAATTCAGGAAGAAGACATAGCCGCTAAGTATAAATAGGGAATCAGAGGCTTCTTCTCCACAGTCATGGGCTGTCTTTCTCAGTATATCTGTTAGAAAGTGCGAGGAGACCTACTGACTCGGGTGTTGGCCATAATGGATCTGCGGTGCCACCTGATGCTCAGTAGATCTGCTCTTCTCTCTTGCATGAATATCTGGGTCATAAAAGACACCACAGGGCCTTCATTAGTAGGCTGAGAAGTGGCAGGACTTTTAGTAGGTTCTTACTTTAGGAGCAAAAACAAAATGGGCTTTTATTTGTCACCTCAAAGGGGAATCGAGGAACGAAAGCAAAGCATAAGAACATTTTCATCTTTCGTACAATCTTGTAATTTAAAAACTTGCTCCCACTTATCTATGAGCCTGTAGATTAAGGAAAGACTTTCAGTTAGAAAGTTTATGTGCTGCCTGCACAGACAGCGGAATGTGAAGAGTTGGACTGGTTTCCACTCGTAGTGAGGCTTGATTAAAAACAGTGGAGCCTATGTCCCAGGAACCTGCATCCGTGAAGAAGAGAGTCCTGGGAACTCGTGGACCTGAGCAGATCCCTTGGGCAAGGTGAGCTAGAATTTCTCCTACTGTAGTTGACTTTCCCAGTCTTAAGTCTTGGTATTGATGTGGAGCTGAGACCAGCTGAGATCACAGAGCTCTGACATTCTTTTTTAGGGAACTTGGGAACTCTTTGTAGAGAAAGTGACATTGGAACAGGGCCTTTAAATGTGGCTGGGACTTGATGTCTAGACATGGGCAGGTTGGGAATTCTAAGCTCAAGCTAGAGGAAGGAGCATGTGCTATTTATTGGGGGAACATTCCTACCCACATAACAATACAGAATAAAGCCAGGGCTTTTAGTCTGTGGGAGGCATGTTGGTGTACTGGAAAATATGATTAAATAGCGAGTCTACTTTGACCTTTTTATTTTCTCTACTGATTGAGTTCTGCTTAAGTGGCTGGAAGAAACTTTATTTCATTTCTAGCCATTTAGCCTCCCACTGGGAAAGTATGAGTTTATGCATTTTTCTTTTGATCTTGACAGAGCTAGAATATGATGATATTGAAGGATGGCGCTTCTAATGTGTATTCAGTACCTAATCCCACCACTAATCCCTGCTTTTCCTTAGTCTTTTTGGTCCTCAGCCTTTTGCCAGTTCCAAATTATTTCTATGATCAATGAGATACCAGTAAACATTGTGAGACAGTCATCCAATCAGATAGTTGACAGGACCTCTGGAGGTCATCGTTTCCGTAGGTAAACAATGGATAAAGCCTGGAAAGACACAGAGATGTTTACTGTCACCTCAAATCACTGCAGAGATGGGGAATGGCAGATTCCCTCAAGTAGTTTACTCCAGTGTTCAATCAGCTGAGAAGGTCTTTCTAATTGAAATATTTCTTACTATAACTTTGTTGCCCACTGTGGATATGGATAACAAGTGACCACTACTTCATTAGCAGTAGTGCTTCATGAACTTGGAAGACAGAATCGCATCACCTTTTAGCTTGACTAAACAACTCTAGTTTATTGTACTGCTCACCAAAAGGTTTATCTTCTTGTCATTAGCCACCTCTAAGACTTCTCCAAACTCTCGGGACTCTCTCTATATTTTTAAAATGATTTTGATAGTGAATAGAGTTTTAGACAGTACAAAATAACTATTTTGAAGATTATATTGGTGACTTTTGATGTGAAGTAACCAATCATTTTAGCAATTTTCTGAAAAGATGAATGCAGAGTGAGAGAACTCGGCTCGTTGTGGCAGGGTTTGGTTACAGTCATCCGGAGATGCTGGGTAAACTGCAGTGGCCAGGACTGCCACGGAAGATCCAGTCCTCCGCCTTTCATCGACTCATGCCCTTCCCTTCCATTCTTCCTCCTCCTCCTCTAGGTCTCTGTTTGCTAAGACCCTTCAGAGGCCATTTATCATGGCCAGCATTGGCTCTGCAAGCCCGCAGGGTCCTCCCTGTGTGGCTCCGATCCTTCTCATATATCCTGCACTCAGAGCACTGGCATCACTGTGGCACCTCAGGCTCAGAATTGAGCTTGCCCTAAGGAAAGTCTGCCATATCTTCCTCTTTCCTCACAACTGAAAATGCCATTCCCATGACCTCATTATTACTTTTCTACGTGACGGACAGCTCTAGCCTGATTTTCATTTCTCTCCAGCCTTCGGGACTCCACCTCCACCCCGCCCCGTCTTTGCTCATTCCTTTCCTCATCCCAGCCTCTCACTTTCTTTTAGTGACAGAGACAAGTGACTTCATGCGGAATCTGGCTGGATTTCTGTATGAGTGCGAGCTTGAATCTGAACGTAATTGTGAATGAAAGTGACTGTGTGGAATCCCATTTGTGTAAGTTCCCTGGATCAGACAAGGCATTTGGGAGTAAATGGATTGAATTTGAAAAGATCCCTTGATCAATCTTACTTAAAATTTTCAAAAGGTTAGATACGCAAAGACTTGCAGATGATGGTGATTATCCAGGTTTGGTAAATTGAAAGCACCCTAAATTTCTATGAAGAGGGAATTGATTGAATTTCAGTTAATCATTCGATGAAAGATTGAGTTTTTAAAATGTTGTGCTATATATTCACATTCACGTGTAGAGACAGAGATTAAAGCACTAAGTAGGTTAGAGCAGTTTGTATAAAGTGATATATATATATATATATGTATATATGTATATATATGTATATATAAGCTGCATATTTATGTTTAAAGAATATCTGGGTAAATAATGTGGATATCTCTTGAAAGTCAAATAATTTTTCTTAACTCCATGTTCTGATTTGCGTTAATATGAGTAGTAAACAATACAAAACTGTGAGATGACCACAGAATATCAGGCGTGACACAAACATGAAGAGAGACTGCATAAGAAGAGGCCTATTATTGTACGCACATAAAAGAGGGGTCAGGAGACCCCTCTTTTCTTTTTATTGGAATAGAATCACTTAAAGAAAACCCTGCTAACTGCACAGAACTTTTTCATAAAACTTCTGAGTAACTTTGAAGTAGTAAAGAAATATTGCTGGAAACACAAAATGTATCATTATTTCCCAGAATGTGTTAGCCCTCTTGGCATCTTTGCACAAAATAGAAAAAGGCATCTATTCCTTAAGCATTTAACTGCTAGGTGCTGGGAAACCCATCTAATACAAACATTACAGACAATGTTCACGTTATGGTGAGCTTACAAATGAATTAACAATGGGCAGATCCCTTTCCTCCTGGTCTGGCTGAGCCCTCCCTTAGCTCTAAAATTATAGGAGTGCTGATGAGTACATAAATACATGGTAAGGGAATGGAAATCAAACAGATTTGGAATACCTCGGAGAAGGTGATGATTGAGCGAAGCCTGAATCCAGGAACTCTGGACAACCTGCAATAACAAGAGGACATCAAACTAAGGAAAAAGAGGGATTATGATTCCAGGGCATGATGCAATAGAAAAGAAGGAGATGGGAATCTAAAAGCCATGCTTGAAATTTTTAATGCTGGCCTTTGGTTTCCTGCACTGATGATAGCCCTGGGAAGCTGTTCTTTAATTCTTTGGGGGCCCCTCCTTATGGGGTCTTTGGAAGTAAGCTAAATCCCTGATTATAATGGAGCTGTCTCCTGGGGATGGATGGATTTGTGCTAATTATGTATGGACCCCCATGGAGGGAGAGCAGATTAATGGGATCTATTCCTGTGTTCAAATCACAATGCTCGTTGAACAGCTGTGCTTCTTGGTGTAGTTTATAGCCACTTACAACAGTTTCAATCCTAGATCATTTTATCTATCACTGAAGCAGAGATATTTATTGATCTACTGAAGTCAAGAGCAGAAGGGCCGACCAGGAAGCCAATAGATCTCTGCAGAGACAGATACCATGTGGCAGTTTTGACTGCTTGGTTCTCTTGTGAAGTGCTCCCTGGACCTTGCCAGCACATAAAGTTGTACTTTGTGATTCTCTTTGCAGGGGAAAGAATCTAATGAACACTTCAAGCTAGTAAAATTAGAGACATTTTAGCAGTTAGTATTGTTACTTTGGGTGAGATCATAGTAGCCAAGGAAGGAATCGGGTGAAGGTCCCATGGGAAATACTTCTTGAACATGGTAATGGAAAAGCTATGATGTACATGAAAGAGATTAACAAATTATAAAACACTCATTATGTACATCTTGTTAATGGGATTATTTGTTGACAAATTGCTAAAGCCCTGTTATTGCTGAGATTGTTCAACTTATAAAAGACCCTTCATAGAGTTTGAATTGACCACTGCTGATTTGTAACCAGTGCTAACTCGTAACAGCACAGACTCAACTTAATTGTGTATGAATATTTTCAGTAGACCTTCAAAGATTCTCTTCCCCAACTCAGAACCTCTGCCTTGCTATGCATTTGTTTCGCATTCAAGCAATACTGAAACGAGTCTGTGTCCAGGGGAACAAGAAGAGGTCTTACCTGTATGCTGGAATCTTGTACTTGAAGGAAGCTGCAGGAGTTGGTGGCGTACAATTCAACATGCATTTCAGTTGTGTAGGTCTGGGCTTCCGGTGTTAGGCTAGCCTTTAGTACCAAAGCAGAGCTTTTCATTGCGGTCTGGTCTGAGTGCTGCAGTTGTAGTTAGTTCAGCAACAGGAAGCATTGTCACCAGTGAAATGAACTTAGATGTCCACCAGACCAGGACCTCTGTGATGGCAGCAATTGTCTGCATCTTATTTGTCACTGAATCCTCAGGACCTCACATAACAGTTGCTTGAAAAATATTAAATGGCTTTTAAAACATTACAGAGGGAAGCAAGTAGTGTATTTAAGCAGTGCTTGAACATAAATTATTACTTAGAATTACAATGACGCCATGGATTTTTAAACTCTCAATCTAAATTTCTTTTGTTTTTCCCAGGTTGTTTGGTCAGGAGTCAAGACAATACTCTATCCCCACTGAACTCATAGGAGATCGAACTGTGAACTCAGTTAGTAACATAGATTCTATGACCTATTGCTCCAAAACAAATCTCCTCCACCTGACTGGTTTAAAATAATAGTAATTATTTATTTGCTTACAGGTTTATAGTTAAGAAAGAGTTCACTGGGCCAGCTTATATTAGCTCCAAGTGATGTCAGAGTGTTTGGCCAGAAAGGGAGGATCTGACTCCACGGTGGTTTAACCAATATAACTGTGACTGCTGACCAGGTCCTAGAGGTCAACTAGGAGTCACCCAGACTCAGTGCTCTTCCTTGCTGACCTCACCATTTGGTTATGTGGGCTTCCTCAAACACATTGGCTGGTTCTATATGGCACAGTGTCATTTCTGCTGTATTCTCTTGGTCAAAGCATCCACAGCCTAGCCCAGATTTAAGGGCAGGTAATACAGAGAGTGCTACCTGGGCTAGAAATAGACTTCTCCTGGCAGGTAATGACAGAGAATTTGTAGATTTCTGTTCGTTTGTGTTTCTGTGGTGCTGAAAACTAAAGCCAGGGCCTTGTACATGCTAGGTAGGTGCTCTAATGAGCTAACTCAAAACCCTGTAGCTGTTTTTTTTTTAAATGAACTCCAAATGTTCATTGAAAATATCTATTTCAAAGGTTCATCAATTATCTCAAGTTGATCATCCATTATATTCTCATTCTTACAGATAAATTCCATAGTTAGATGAATTACATAGGTCAAGATGAGGAAGATGGTATTTGGCAACCTTAAAATTTCCATCAGTTTTTCTTCCAAATCCTGGCAAGCAAACATACTGTCTCAGGGAAACCAGTGCACTTATCCTGCAGAGGATAATTAAAGGGAAGTTCTGACATCCCACCTCTCCCTCCCCAGCACAGACACCATATTGCTTCCTTGTACCTCTTCCCTTGGAATGATGAAGCAACTCTTAATTGTAAGAAGATTCCCTGTGAGCTTAGAAACATAGGAAAGGAAAGGAATTCCATAGCCTGAAGGGCTGCATTCACTAATGCCATGATGTGCCCATCTTGCACTGCTGAATATAATGACTTGGGGGAAAAAAGTGTTTTCTCTGTCTTTTAAGATTATTTTATTTCTCTTTACACTACTAGAAAGTTCACTTTTTCACACATTAGCTTTCTTCTATAGGTTTCAGAGGTAAGTTTCTTTTGACAGCACAACCTTTCTTCACTTTCCTGTTAAGTAAATTATGTATGTTAATTCCTGCAGTTCTTTTACAGATTTCTTATATGGTCAGAGCACATTGGTAAAAATTCCAGGTTCAGTTCACTCTGCTTTGATTTTGAACCTGGCTGTAGCTGTTTATTAATTACTTTTCAATGCCAGGCAGTAAGTGTGTTATTACTTTGCAGTGTGCCTCTGCATTATGGGCTTTTGAAGTGAAGGAACCACAGAGAGGCCAACTTGACCAAGACCCTGTGGTGGGCATGAGTTCAGGTCTCCTTAGCCTTTGCATTATTTTAAGCAAGTTCATTGGATAGGTCAGCTTTCTGTTGCTGGGACAAAATACCTTACATATAAAGGCAAACAAAGGTATTTTGACTCATAATTTCAGAGGTTTCATTTGGTCGTTGGCTGTCTCTAAGGCAGGAACATTCTGGCAGAAGGACATAGAAGATTAGAGTTGCTCACCTTATGGCAGTCAGGAAGCAGAGAGAGCAACGAGGAGCCAGCAAGAGAAGAAGGTGGTGGGACAAGGACAAGAACATACCCTTCAGGTTACGTGACCTGCTTCTTCCAACAAAGCCCCACTTCCTTATAGCCCACTCAGCCAGGATCATCAACATATTAACCCTTTGATAAGCTTAGCACCCAGGGATCTAATAGCCTCCTAAAACTCCTACCTGTGAACACATGAGCCTTTTGAGGGACATTTTACATCAAATTGTAATATTCATTTGATGGTTCATTCTCAGAGAAAACTTATCTTCATTACTTGAGATCCCAGCCTCTATTAAACTGTCTGGAAAATCCATTCCACTGATTCCATTTTAAAAAGTAGACAGAGACAAGACAGAAAGCAGCAAGAAGAACATGGCAACAGAAGGAAATTCACATATCCCCACCACCCTAACACGTATTTTAATTTTAATATATAGCATTGATTTTATGCATGCCATGCAGCTGCCATCAGTGTGTGCCCAATATTTCATGCTTATTCTTATAATATTTTGATGGACATCAATTTTCCCAAGTTTCTACACATTACAATAATAATTTTTATTTGTTAGGTAATACTCTATGTGGATAATTAAAGTAGATCTAAGGATTTTTAATTTTTCCACATGTAAAAGAAGTAATTGTACATCATAGAAACATTTGGAAATTGACTTAATTATAAAAATACACAGATTTTTTTTATCACACACATACAGAAATACTTGCTTATCTTGGAATATTTTCTACCAAATTTTGAAAATGTTATATTTTGTTTATACAACACATTTGTCATTTTATTGTATACGAAATTGAAGTTATGACATCAAAATAACACTAATAGCTATGTGTTTCCACAAGAAAAAAAAATGGGAGAAGTTCCCTGCTGCTTTGCTTTTCTATAGAGGCTCTTCTTTGATCGTGGTGGTGGAGGGGTAGGTGCATTATTTCAACAAGGCAAGGATTTGTTGGGATTTGAAGACATTCCTATCTGTAAGATGATTTTCTAGATCTCGTATTACATCAGTGCAGAACAGCACATATGTGCTGTACACTTATTGCTTCATACACCATGGAACAAGGCCAAGCAGTGACAGAGGAGGTGACCTCCAGCTCAACACTGAGGCTGGATGTGGTGCCAGTGTGCAATGGTGACACATCTGAATACTGCCCCAGCTTCTCATTTGGGCTAAGAATGCCACCTGCCTGATGGACAAGAGGGAAGAATCCATTTATCATCTTCCGTGTGAGATGTAAGAGCAGATTTTATCTGTTCTTTTGGTACCTATCACAAGCTCCCCCACTGTGTTGTGAACAGAAGGTGAATTTCTAAAACAGAGTACTGTATATTATAGCAAAACTCATTTATTAAATCACCATTCTCAACCTTAATTTTAAAACAGTGGAGCTGCAGCCGGTTAATTTTCTTTTTAGTGAAATATTTTTAAGAAGATATATATTTTTTAAATACAGAGGAAATGCCAACAGCACTAACTCAGGCTCCATGTTTCCACTGCACATATTTAATGATGTTAATATTGGCTGTATTTTCTTCAAATCTCTTTCAAAGCCAGTATTTCATTGGTAGGTATATGTTCCCTAACTATAATAATGGAAAAACGTTTTGTGATGAGGAGCATGTATCTTTTCAGCCTCTCCACTCCATTTCATGCTTTCAGAAAGTCACACTCACATGAGATGAATCCCTGTCTAGGGACTACAGCACCCACAGAAGAGAGAACAATAGTAAGAAAGAAAGGGTCATGGAATCAAGTGTCTCCTTAAGCTAGTGGGATGACAAGCGGGAAAGAGGATAGGAACATGGGCTCAGCTAGATGTTAATTCACCATCTGTGAGTGTGTCAGAAGCTCTGATAGACTCAATAGACTGTGCTGTTTTTTTTTTTATCACATTTAGAGACAAGCTGCTTCCTGAATTGGATGAATTTTAAGGTTATGGTTGCACATGTAAAAATTGAACATTGAGGTTTTTCCCATTCTCTGCCTTTCTCTTGAGTTGTGTAATTCATGGCAACTCAGAATTTATATCTTGGAGCAAACTTGCTTGATGATTCATCACATTTTGGGGGAAAATAAGCCTCATCAAGCAGGGCCTGATTTTCCAAGATCCCATCATTCAGGCACTTATTATCCACTCTGTGAAGTTGCTAGGTCTTTTGCTTTTCACCCTTTCCCTCCTGATGGGTTTTGGTCATTTTGCTGTTTGTTAGTACTTTCACCAGTAGGTGGGGAGGAGCAAAGAACTGTGAAAGCATTATTAAGTTTTGTTTCATGATAAGGGACTTGCAAAGGGCTCAGTGGGGGAGAAATTGAAGCCTTTTACATACAATAAGATTTGGAGTTATCTGTTGATTCTGCTTATGTATGCCCTCCTTTTCCTTGCTAGTACTAATAATGAAAAGTTGACTTGCAGGAAAACAGGATGGAAGGGAGCTGCAAAAAGCAGCTGAGAGTCGCAGTGAGCCATGACTTCAACATGGTCCTGTAATAGAATGCTGTAATGACAGGGAGCCTGAGTCCTATGAATTCACTGTAGTATCAAATTGGCGTTCTGTCTTTTTTCTCATTCTGCATAGGTCAGGCAAACCTTAAACTAGAAGTTTTCAGTGGGGGTGAGACTGTGCTTAGGGTAGATTCTAGGATCACCTGGGGCAACCTTTGCAAATTATATGAACTGATAGCTCTGCATACCACAATTTGAGGGGAGCTCTGGGTGAGGACTTTGACAAATTTACTAAGGTAATTATCTTTCAATCTTATATCCCACTATGGAAAATAATACCCGTGATTTTTGAGAAAGCTTAACCAGGAACAATGAAAATAGCTAAAGGGACTCCAAAATGGCAAAACAACCTGAATTCTTAAACTTGAAGACAAGGGGGCTCTCAAAGTATTTAAATAACTTTTGTCACATATATAAAAGGTTGCCTGTTGGACACTGGTTCCCTCAGGTCGTTCTCCACACTCCTTCCAGGATGATCTTGCGATGTGCAACGTGCCCACTGCTTCTTGGTCTTTTGTAATGCTCCAGGCTCCCTTTCCTTCTTGACTCCCTCCTTCCTTTTTCCTCTCCTCATTTGACAAAGAATCAGTAAGTTCACCACTAATCACGAAGTTGCAGCTACAAAAAGAAAAGGCATAAATGCAAGTCTGCATGCCTTGAGAGTGGCCTGCAGAGCTCAGAGCTACACTTCTCCCCATAATGATAAGGAGCAATTGAAGCGTTTAAATCCACTGCATTTCACATTCCACATCCATCCACTCTGCTCACAATAGACTTCTTAGATCATCCTCCAACATTCAATCAGCCCTTTCACTACTGTGGTTCAGATTCACATTGTTTTTCTTATCTAGGCCACAAGCCCCTGAACTTGTCTTTATACCAATCATTGCTTTTCTTAACAACAACAAAAAATTTAATTAGAAAATTAATTGGATCACTTATCTGTTCTGTTTGAAAATTTTTCTTAGATACTTATTTATAGGGACACAGCATCACATTTAAGACTTTCATAATGGGCCCTGGTCTCTTTTGCAGCCTGTCCCTCTGTCACTGCCTCTTCCCACCTGGACCCCTTATTCTCTTTCCTCCATCTTACCCTGCAGCTACAACTTCATGATTCCCACAAACTCTTGCCTGCTTACAGGCTCCACTCTCTGGACTCTCCAGCCTTCCTCTTCCTTGCCAAGTACACTACTCATTTTTAAAGGCCCAACTAAACTAGCTCCCCCTTGTGAGGTAAATTTCACCCCATACCGTGTCTTCCCCTTCATTGTCACTCTCCTGTGAAACCATTCTAATATTTAAACCCTTATGTTTGTCGGGTTTTCCTTTCCCCAGCCATGCTTCTTTGGGTTACTTATTGCTGTGCTATCTTCCTGAGACTATGTCCATGGTAGGCTGGTATTCAGAAGGGTAGAGAGGAGAGAAAGGGACAGGTAAAAGGAGACAGCTGTCACACTGGCTTCCCGTCCTGATGGTTTCCTCTGGAACTGTGAGAATACACCCCCAAAATACCTATCATTTTGTTTCCTTGACAAATGCTTCTTTCATGTCTGTCTCCTCTCTTTGGTGAATGGAGTGGGACAATGTGGAAACCATAGGGAGCCCTTTGCAGCTTTCCATAAAACAGCAAGCTCCTTGTTCCTTGTCATTGACACCACTTAAAATCCTCTTCACTCTTCAAGTAACTTGCCTGTAAAGTAGGAGGTGCTCATTGCCTCAAGTCTTACAAAAGAGAAGCATGAAAGGCAAAGAGAGATTTTAAAAAATTGTAATCTTTACTCCACTCATGAGATTGTCTTCACATTCACTAGTTCTGGAAAAAAAGAATGTGAGGTTTTCATTGCTTCTCAGAAGAACATATCCATTTTTTTCCCATAATAATTTCATGTGCCTCTGGTCCCTATTTGGGGACAGGAAAAAGAGGAGCAGTATTAATTTTTGTATATACTTTAAGGTTGTACATCAGCTTGTGGAAAAGAGCTAGTGTGGTTGGGTTCAGAAAGCATAATTTGGGGATCAGACAAACCTTTTTAAAATTCTAGCTTAGATGTATGTGTTTGACAAAGTCAATCTCCTTTCTGTGCTTCTGTTTCCTCATCTGTAACATGGGATCACTTTGGGTCACTTGTAAAAATCCCTGTATAGAGTGAGTGCTTAGAAGATGCAACAACTTCTTGTCTCTGACTTCACAGTGCCTGACACATCACAAAGCCCGATGAACTGAGTGAGTTCTATTTTCCACAGCATTATTTAGTTTGGGAAGAGCTTCTTCAAGTATCTGGTTTTAGAAATCTAAGTCAGAAAGGGATTGGTGTTGAAAAGTAAGAGAACTGAGGTTTGAGCTAAGTGGTATCGAGGGCTTTCCATGATTTTCATGGCAAGGTTGTGATGCAGCGAAGTCGCTCTGTAGGTGGGCTAGAGAATGAAAAGTGTGCATATTGCTTGGATATTTTACCTTCTGACCTAATTACTGTCATTTCCTAACTAGGCCCTCTGGTGGAAGCTAGATGTTCTTTCTCCAAGTTCACCTCTATTCCCTCTACCCCAATATTTACTGGAGAGTAATCTGAGGGCAAGCACTCTGCATGAGCATCATTGAGGAGCAGAGCTGGTCTCAGAATCATTTTTCATTTTGGGGCCAAATGAGTTCCTAAGATCACCTCTCTGTCAGGTGTGGTGATTCTGCCATTTGTGGATGTGAAGAAAGGCAAAGAAGAGGGTAGTGGAGTCACTAGAGGAGAAGAAGGAGAGATGGGTGCTTCCTTTCATGGTTTTCATACATGTCAACATAGAGAACCACCCAGGGAGTTTTAAAATGCATATTCCTGGACTCTGTCCCAGGAATATTGAATCCTTGTCTTGAAGGTATGGCCTAGGGTTCCATCTTTTTAATAGGCTCTGCAGGCAAGTGTTGGGGAAACAGTTCAAACTCTGGTTTAAACCTGCCAGGGGATGCCCTCTGCCACATGCTCTCATGGCGATGCTGAGGATACCCTGAAGATCTTAATGGTGCTTGCACATGATGACCTAATGGCGTAGAGGGAGGACCATACAGTACAGGATATGCTTTAATTTATGTTTGCTGGGTAACTTTACATGACTCAGAAAACATTCCCAAGCACTTATCTCCAGGGATAGCTTGGCTGTATTTTTCAACGGGATTCTCCTACATTAAAGGGACCGACGTTCCTAACAGGCAGCCAGGACCACTACTGTAGGAAATTTGAACCTATCTTTTCGGTCCTCTTCTTTACATGACAATGTTTTTCCTTGATGTTGTTTCCACTCACTAAGCCACCTGAAAAATGAAAACAAATATTTTCCTTCTGTGCAAACTGGTGAAAAAAGTTGGGGAAGCAAGCTAATAACTACAGCAAAATTATTTGTTTGCCTCACTCACCTTTTCTCTTTTGGCTTCAGTTGAGGGCTCCTTAAGCTTCATTCCTACCATTCCAAGACCTTCCGGAATAAGGTTTGAATTTGGTGGGCGCAATGCTGCCACTAAACTGGACCTTTGGGTATGGTTAGAAAAAGAAATGGGAAGAAGAGTTAAATTTTCAAGGTTAATTCATCTCCTCTAGGTGGTTTTTGTCCATTGCTGAGCTCTTATCTTCTCTTTCCACCAACACCTACTTACTTGGATCTTGACTTATTTTGGCAGTTCTCTGCACGTGGAATGTGGTTGCCATGGCAATGTTATCCAGCAGGCTGCATGCTGTTTCATCTTCTATCCATCTCTTCATTTCCCTCCAGTGTGTGCTTGTTCTCTCACATTTCCATCTCTCATACACCCACCCCAACCCTTTTTGTAACTGAAGACATCAAACATCGCATTTCTTCAAGCTCTTTTGCTACCTTTCTCCAATTATACTGAATGTGCTTTTAACTTCATATAATCAGAGAAACCTGGTAGTGACTGGGAAAAAGGAAAGGAAATTGACTCAAATGCTCAATTTCTCTAGGCTGTGCGAGGATATCCAAGAATTTGAGGGAATTTAAGCAAGAGTTAATTAAATTAACTTCCCTCTGATTTTTAAAGGGATTAGTTTTTACTGAGGTTCAGAGAGACTTACTAACAATACCTTTTTGATTTCTACCTCAGCTACTTCTTCATGTCTTGACACCACCTACAAAGTAGAGTCTGAAACTATTCTCAGCTTTTATTTTCCCGACTTTCATGAAATATGCACTTTATTCATCATTTGCATGAACCCATAGATATCTCTGTAGACAGTGACATCTCATGTTATCAAGAGTTGGGCCAAATATAAACAAAATTCTGGAATGAATGTCAACTGTTCACCTCCTCTTGCTGTGATGTGTATGGAGGGTAGGGAGTGGCAGGGGCTGAGTGAAGAGTTTTGCAGTTATGTGCACCAGCCTATGTGAAGGTTGAGAAAGATTTCTGTTTTTTTTCTGAAGATATTCTTATTTTTTTAAAGAGTTGAAAAAATACTAGAAAACAAATAAATAAACTGACCCTTTGTTTCATTGGTTCCTTCTCTAACAGATTATCTTTTTCAGTGTTATAAGCAAATGGGTTCTATTGATTTCCATTTCCAAGCTAATATAGGGATTTATATTGGTAAAGAATATTCGACTATATATATTTTTCCTTTTTTTAGGTACCTCCAATACTTTGATTTTCTCAACTGAAAAGAAAAAAAAGAAAGAAAGAAAATGAAATTGTCAGCAACTGTGAAGTCAGAAAGTTTCTTTTTCTTTCTTATGGAATAAAATATTTCAGAAATATAAATTATTTTATTTACCCATTGATCTTTGATTGTGTCCCCTTTTGGAGTCAGCTTTCTCTAAGGGCTCATTCGTAACCATGTGTCTAGGATAGGGATTTGGACAAGTTACCTGATCCTCATAGAAGAACGGAATGAGGAAATCACTAAAAAGGAGGGCTTTTTAGAAAGGGTCTTTCCAAGAATTAGGTTGGTCCTATTTTTTGTCTCATTGTTTGTAGAAAAGAAAGATTATGGATATGTATTGTTTGAATATGTTCTTTTATACATTGATAATTACAGCCATTTTTTGCCACAGGGAATCAATATTCAATGTGCACGCGCGCGCGCGTGTGTGTGTGTGTGTGGGTGTATGTGTGACATAGATGGGGTGAGGGTGGAGGTGAGATGCAAGAAAGCAGAACAAGGAGCTTTCCAGACACGTGTTCTAGAAGCTCAAAACAAGTCAGTGGGCATTTGCTGAACACTTATCAGATAAAGCGCTAATTTAGATTATGGAAGGGATAGCAGGACAAGATCTGTCTCTTACTTTAAACAGTGTATTGTCTACCCTGGAAGACAAGACAGAGACACATGAAAAGTTAAGCAACAAAGATGAGAAAATTAGCAACATATAAAATGCTCACATGTAGGTTGCAGTCTACAGAGGACAGAGAGAAAAGGGCCAAACTACTAGGAGAGTAGTGACAAAGGGAGAGATTTGATCTGAGCCCATGAGCACAAGCAAAATCTGCACTGCACTGAACTGAGAGAAAGCGAAAGAGGCAGGAAAGTGTAAGTGATATTTAGGGGTCAGTGAAGAAGCCACTTGGCTTTAGCCCAGGTTTATATAAAGAAGATGAGAGAATCCACATGTATGGATAGGATCAGGATGTGTTGGGTCTAAAACTGAAGGCTACCAGGGAGCCATTGGAGAGCCTGAACCGTACTTGACACAACACTAAGAAGTCTCACAGGAGGTTAAATGGGAGCATAGTGGAACATGACCTAAGGCAGAGGGCCCACATGGGAATCAGTGCTGGTATCTGGGTGTGACATGATAAAGCCTAGTAGGTAGAAGCAGAAAAGAACAAATTCTGAAAGAATTATTTTTCCAAAAAAGGAAGATGTTGTGGGACTGATCTGGAAGGGGGAATTTAAAAAGGATGATGTCAGAGGCACCTGGGAGTTTCAGGACTAAAAGAAACAGGCTAGTTAGTGCCAAACACCTTTCTAAGGGCTCACTAAGCATCGCATCACTGAGAACAGGAGTTTGCAAGTCAGCCACTTTGAGGGGGAAGAACAGGCAGCTCTATTTCCACTACTGTGAGTTTGTAATAAGGGAAATGCAGGTGGAAAGGGCTGGAAATGGGGTATGAGATGGGCTCAGGATTAGAGGTATAGTCTCTGTGGGGTTCAGTCACATCAGGAGTTGGCTCCTTGAGAATAGCCAACATCTGCAACCACCATGTGCTGGATTTCCTAAATACAAACAAGTAAATAAACAACAGGTGAAAAATATATACAAAAGGGGGACAGCAGAGACTGTAAAGAAGTAATCACAAATGAAGGAGAACAACCAAGATCATGCTGCAGGACAGGACTTAGGACAAAATCATTTCAAAGGGAGAGAGGGTGTTGTGTAGTACAAATCTATGGTGAGCTCAAGCAGAATTGAGTGGTAAGAAGTGTCTGTGTATCTGACTGTCCAGATCAGAAGTGTGGTTCTGCCTTCCTTATTGAAAGTAATTGAGAGTTGATTAGAGCTTCAAAAATACTTTAATATTGTATTTTTAAGTCCAGGAAGAACTTGGACATTTTGTGCCAAGCCAACTTTTTCCAATCTTAACTGATCCAAATAAATATTCTAGTTCTTATTGTCTGTCTGTAACAAGGACTCCAAGAATATAGTCCTAGGCTTCATAACTGACTTCTTCCTGGAGTGTGATCTGAGAATTAATTCCGCTATCTGTCCACTCAAGCTTTCAGCTTCATGGTTTCTCTTCTGTGTTTCTTGTAAGGCAAATTAATTCAATTTCTTTACTTTTTGGGGGGTTCGTGCTTGTGAAATATGACAGATTGACGGCCCCTAGAGAAAGGAGTTCTTTTATTATTCTATGGACATAACTCCTGACCGGCAATGTGCCTCCTGTTTTTCTTAAAGCTATAGAGAGCCTATAAATTTTCCCTTCCCTGTAGATTTTCTTCAGGGTGCTATATGAGGAACAATTAAAAGCAAGTGATGGACTTTTGCTTGGTAGTTAGTAGTGTTTACTAGGCCTTGAAGACATTCAGGTCTAGATTTGGATTTTAACTCTAACATGCTAGAAGTTTGTGGATTATTTTTCTTCTGACTATTGCTTCTCTTGACAGTACTA